CTCTTGGTGGCAAATACACTATCATGTTGCTTCTAAAAGGTTTGCTCCCTGTCAACACCCAGATATGCTGGAAATGTTTCCTATATCAGGGGTTCTGTCTACACCTTGAGTTTAAAAGTGGACAAAGAAAGAGGAGGAGGCACACTCTGGCTGTTTGGGGCTTGTTGCCACAGAGCTCCAGACTAACCACACTTGGGAAGTGAGGCTCTGAGGGGATCTTGGACACAACAGGCCAAGCCCTTCACAGGTGGGATAAACAAGAACCTGCAGAAAACACTGTATTGCCCTGGCTTCCCCAACGTTTATAAGTGCTCCAGGTCTTGGTACAATGTCCAGCTGAGCATCTGTAGCAGTATAAGCAGGACACATGTCTGGATTACAGCAGTGGTTGACCAGCAGCATGGACATCACCTGAAAATCCTCCATTTGTCTCCAGATGAGTTCCTCTTACATATCTTGCATGTCTATTGCATGTGAGTTAGTCATCTTTACTTCCAAAGTTCTGCAGGTAAATAACTGTTTGGTGTTTGATTTGTTCTGCATGCAGCACATCAGCTGGTCCCATTACAAGTAATTCAAAGGCTTTCCAAAGTGATAAATCTCTGTTTATTTTCATTTCCTGCCTCTAACAATGTAGTAAGAGATTGTCTCATTTGCTGTTTGAATCCTGCAAGCAGAAGTGAAATATTCTGTGATCCAGGACAGGTCAGACTATAGATTTTTCTACCATCCCAAAGCCTAATTTAGTCAGCTGGATGGTAAGTGTGTAGCAGGGCATAAAAAACCCCTTTCATGCTCTCTAAAAGCAGCCTTGAGGTGAAGTAGGGCTCTGAACAAGGGCATTACTTCATCCCACAGCATTGTCCCCAAGCTGCACTGCACAGCCCAGGCTGGACGTGGAAAGCAGGACACAGCAAGCATTTCCTAGAGCCTCACTGTGGCTGTAGGGTTATCATCCATCCCCAATAGATCAATTTTTCTTTCCCAAGGAAAGGAAAAAGACCAGCAGACACGATCTGGGAAAACAGTGTGCCTCTGAAGAAAGACATCCTCTTGCTTTGTGTTCAGGCATGTGATATCTGGCGATTGATTTTCTTCTTTGTATGTCCTGGCTGGATGTCCTGTGTCCCTCCTGTACAAAAGGCACAGAAGAATTAAAATCAGTTTTGCCTGGAAACAGATGCTAATTAACATCACTGGAGAAGGGCAGAAAGGGAACAATAAACATCTCACTGGAGTTGTTGACACAGGTAGAACGCTGGAGATGGTCCCAATCTTTCCCAAAGCCTTTTGTTCTTCTGTTTCCCAAGCAGCTTCTTCCTTGAAGTTTTTCCCGTGAGTGTGCAGGCAAAAACATGATGGAAAGAGCTGACTTGAGCTCTTTCTCATTTCTCAGCTGTCTCTCATGGATCCCATGTCTACTGGAGCTTGTGGCAAGGCTGCTCTTCCCTTAAAAGAGAGAAATGTCATGCTCCCACCAGGCAGTGAAATGACAAACGCGAAAGCCCCACTTCCGATTTATTCCCAGTCCTAATGACAAAAGCTGCTGTTGGTTTTGTCTTTTTCCAGGAGGTATCTTCACTCACTCTTGTCCCCACAGTTCTTCTCATTGCTCTCTGTAACTTTGTACAGAGGGGGAGGAAGGAAAAATGAAAAGGAAAGGTTGCTAAGCCTAAGCCCCACTCTCAGCATGCAGAACACAAAGCCTCTCTGCTTTGGCTTTTTCCAGAAACAGGATCTAGTGGAACCCTCTATCCATGCAGCACAGTTTGGCCATTGGTTCTGTACTGAGTTTGGCTCAGGATCAAGGCCTGCCAAGCTTGCTTTGCCTGGATTACTGCAGAGTACCTGCTGCTTTGTTTCAGTTTGGTTTAGCTGTAGGAACACTTTCCTCTTTCTAGCCAGGTGCCTACGGCTGACTTGGTTTACTTTCACTAGCACTGCATGGTAGAACCATGGTTTTATACCAGCTCTTCTGTGCACTATGAGGTGTTCACATCTCCAGTTTCATACACTGGAGCTAACAGAGGTCATCATGGGCTTGGTGTGACAGCAGAGGTCCTGTGAAGTGGAAGCACGGGGTGCAGTGTGGGGGGCTGCAGGCCCAATGAGATGGTAAGAGATGGGGCACAGGCCTGATTCTGGAGCACTCACAGCTGTAAACCACTCACCTATGGACAACTAAAGAAATGCAGATACAGAGCTGGATGAGAATGGTTCAAGGGTAGAAAAGAGGACAAATAAAAAATATATTACATTGATATAATCAGCATCTACTATTGTAAATGTGGATGTGAAATGGAGTTGCAGTCCAATGAAGAAAAAACAGGTGTAAAAGCCTGTAACAAATCATAAAACTGATCCCCAGGAGGATCTGGAGTGAGGAAGAAGAAACCATCACCATCAACCTCATATTCCTCCCACAGAACAGCTCCAGATGTTGATGACTTCCTGTAACACCACCATCGGAATGAAACCAGGAACCTTAGGATTTAGATGAGCACAGGCAGGGGGAACATAACGCCAGGAATGGGGATAGGAGATAAGAAGTGTGCATAAGGCTTCAAATTATTTTTTAATTATTATTGTTGTTATTGAATTTTTTTATGAGAGTATTATATATTTTTCTGTAATAATTTGACTTGGACTAATAATGATTCTTTATAACAGGCTAAGATTTCAGTTCTACTAATGTTCAATTCTTGTCTTTATATGTAAGGTATATTTCCCTTTTGCCCAGTATTTTGAGCATAACAATGTAAGAAGGTTTCTGAGTAGCTCAGAAACATTCTGTATTTCTCACGAGTTCAAAATAACCAAATACTTTATAAGCTGAAATCACTATGATATGTGAAAAATGTATCTGCCCAGGAGAGATCTAAAGAGCTTCTCAGTTGAATAGGTAAATGGTGTTTTGGGTATAATCAGATTTTGTTTTTCAGTTTTTCCCTCCAAACCTGTTCCTGCTCTCTTGGATGCTCTCTCTGTTAGTCAAAAGTGATTCTATTCCCCTTCTAGACTGCACTTTGCCAAAGAGGAAAGCCACAGTAAACACCTTATGAATTAGGAGACATTATTTTTAGCCACAGACCAAAGTTCAAAGACATAAATAGAAACATCCAAACTCCTAGTCTCCTTCTAGTTCCTCAGTGAAGCTTTCCACATCAATGTCTTCCATTTCTAATGGTTCTATAATATTTTATGGATGTATTACGCTTACAATAAAATTCAGTAGCAATGCATTGCCATCAAACAGGTGTCCTTAGCACCAGGTTTTCTAAACTCCTGGAGAAAAAAAAGAAGAGGCCAAGGCCAAGAGCCACCAGAGCAGACAGACCTGCGCCATTCAGAACCATAAAGAGGTGAGCAAACCACGAGAGACTCTCCTAGTTTTGTGCTGGGCAGAATTACAGTGCAACTTGTAATTACAAGGTATCATGCAATTACAGATGTTTTCACATCCTGGACATCCTGGACCTGTGGTGTAGAGGTGATTGGCCAGAAGCCTCATGGCCATTCCTTGTTCTGCTTCCCTCTTCATTGGAGATACTTGCAGAACATTTTTCTCTTGATTTCTATGTGTCTCTGCACCAAGTCAACTCACAGGACTGCCTAAAACTAATCTGTATGTCTAAGAGCATGGTGCAGATGCTGCTTGAACACTGACAGGGTGTTGTGAGTACTTCCCTGGGGAACTTTATCTTAATATCTGCAGCAGCTGAGGGTTGCTTAGTGGCTATAATGCTTTGGAAGATGTGCAAGATCTAGACCTGGTTTTTTGAGTGGCTTTGGTTTTCTCTTTGGATGACTCCAAAGGACATTTGGAGATCTGATACTTGAATTCTCTCTAGTTTGAATATACTTATTAGATGTTTGTCTTCTTGTGAAATGAAGATAAGAATTTCTTAATTTGCTGTATTCTCCCTTAAAGGGAAATCCTGTTTTCCTACCAAAAAGGTGAGATACCATTTTATTGCAATCTGTTGATTTATAGGACACATGGAAACCCTCCTTTCTTAAACAGAGCTTGCCATAAGGACTCTTAGTGCATGTCTTTTCTGTGAATTTAATTTTGGCCAGGTCCTTCTGCCTCATCCAATAGGAACTTCCCCCTCAAATCTGCAGACTTGGTCCTCTGTGTTTTACCCGGGCATTGCACAAATCTGATTGCCTAATCCCACTTCCCCCCGTTGCTGCTGGCTCTGACCCGAGTCCCAAAGCAGGATATCTGAGAAATGCTTAGATCAAAGCTCCCCACCCGCCAGTGGGGTTTGGTTATTAGCCTTTTGTTTATGCCCCTGCTTCGAAGCAGAGGCACTCCAGGTATTTCCTTGCTGAACAAAGGCAGGCGTTTAAACCCAGCAATCTGCTTTATGATTCTGGGAACCCTTACTGCACACACCGTTTGTCTTTTCTCTGCAAAGATTAATGCTGGCATCTTAAACATCACTAATGCCTTATAGACAATCCATTAACATCAGTGTCTCCTAAGTGGCCAGCCATACCATTCTTTATAAAATAGGGATCCTTTCCTAGTGCTACTGCTACCAATCTCTTGATTTCCCGAGCATGGAATCGTGCCTATTATCAGCTGTGGGGTATTTTACACTGCTACATATTTTTTTACTATATAATGAGCTGCCTGTGTGTGAGTGACATGAAAAAAAATAGCGGAATATTGCTATTCCACTTACTGCAGTGTATGAGCTGATCTGGTTAGACACAAAATGCAGACAGAAAACTGCCTCACCTCTCAAGCTAATTTTAGTCTCTCCCTCTGTTCTCTGTGGCTGTGTGTGTATAAAATCACTGGCAGTCTGACAGCGTTTCAGTAACCTGTGCCACGCGCAGAGCGGGATGTACTCACCAACCATCTGCTTGCATGGCACGGGTTAACTGATCCTGTGGGATTGTGCTTACCTAAACAAAACCACTGCAGTGAGGGGAAAAACAATGAATGGGTGGAGATGATCAGCCCATGCATTCCAGCTAGTGCAGTCCAGGCAGCAATGACAGCCTGAAGGTTGCAGCAGCATCGGGATCAGCATTCCAAGTGCACCAATCTTACAGTCTGGAGTGATTTTACGTGGAGCCGTTCTTTATTTGCTGAGCCATGGCCAGTAACCAGGCCAGCCTGCAGGATGATCAGAGCAGGCACTGCAAGTTCTTATCCTATATGTTCTACCAGGCTGTGAGAGATCACAAGCCTGTGTGGATGCTGGAAGATATGAGAACAATGGAGTATTTTTACTGGGAGGAAAATGCCAGCCTACGAACCTACTCACCTTCAGAAGCCCTTCTCTATGCAGTGGTGCATAATCACCTGCCTTATGCTCAGTATCTGCTGTCTCATTTTCCAGAAGAGGCTCTCAAGGTGCCTGGGGAACACTTCTGCTATTGCCCATCCTCTGCTCCTCACTTGGCCATGGCGGTCACATATGACAGGAGAGATATCTTGGGACTGATCATCAAAATTGCACACAAGCTCCCCAGCTTGAACTCCTATATCAATAGGGCTGGCTGCTTTCATCTGGAAGATGGGAAAACACCCCTGCACCTTGCCTGCGAACTGCTGAGGTCAGAGACAGTCCTCATCCTCCTAGGGAATGGAGCATCTCCCAGGATAGAGGACAGTAAAGGGCTTACCCCGCTGGACGTCATCCTGGAGCAGATGTGGGACTCCAAAGTCAATGTTGCATCAAAGAAGCTCTGCCTCGACTACCTCTTGCTCTTCATGCCCAACCCACAGTTTAAGATGCGGAAAGTTCTGCAGGAGCATCCAGACCACTGGACAGCTTTGCTGGGAGAAGACAAATTCAACAGTCTGGTGGGGAACACACCTGCTTCTTTATATCTGCAAGCTATGCAAACTATTCTCCAGACTCTTCCCCCTTCCCACTTCCCTAAAAGCATCCAGGAACTACCTATACCTCAGGCACTAAAGCCCTTACCATCCTATGGCAAAAAGCTACCAGCAAAAAATGTGGTAAATGTTTTTCCTTGACTTTATTCAATGGGTCTTGGATTTTCCAAGACAACTTAGAGGAGCTGGTCATCCACCACCCTCTGCATTTCAGTGTGATTTTAGTCTATTAGCCTATTAGGCTATGCTGGAAATTCCAATATTTTGTGACAAGATTTTAAATGTCTTTTCTAACTGATTGCAGGCAGGGCACTTTTAAAGGCAAAAGCCTTCCTTGTTTTCTGTTATGTTGTGCATGTGAAGGGTTAACTGTAGTTGAGACTGTGTTATGTTTGGTTTCTTAATTGTCAGCTGGTATCAGTGTATTTGAATTCCCAATATGATAACTGTATCGTGTGTAATGCACCTGGGTTAAAGGGAACCAAGTACCCAGTGGGATTTTTAAATGGTGTCACTGCTAGAGCTAGCAGAAATACCATCCCCTACCAACAAAGTTCAAACATCAGGTTTCATTTCTAACAATGCTCAAGCATCATTAGTAATAACCACAATGTGCATGGCTCATGCTGCAGGGATGCAGAGGCAGTTCCTGAGGATAACTGATCCCACCGAATTATTTTACAGCAGGTCATGGTGTGGAAGGTATGAGTTCAGAGAGAAGGAGTGCTTGTACATTCCTGGGGGATGGGAGATAAAGATCCACAGAATAGCTAATGGAAAGCATCCAGTCTCACCTGGGAGCAAGGGGGTTAAAGGCAATCCTAGCCCTGATGCCTCTACAGAGTTGTGCAATGGGGAAGGAACCATTTTCCCTGCTGTCTAGTAAACAAATGGCAATTGGAGCAGGGACAGTGGGAGCCATGTCTTTCATAAGTGACATTATTTCTTCTTGACTTGTGTTTTGGAACTATCTCTACAGGAGATGTAGCTCTCTAACTTGATTTCTCTGGTCTCAGAGCCACAGGCATTTGTTTGTTATCCTAATCTGGGGCATGATAATCTGCTGTTAAAAGCTGTTACTTGTTGTCAATTAGAGTATTTTTGCCATCCAGGTCCCGACAGAAATCCTTATCCTGGAAATTACAAAACGTTGCCACTGACTGGGCAATGCAGGCAGGGTGAGTTTGCAGAAAGCATGGCTGGGGCTGGGCCGCCTTCTGGGTAGCTCTGAACCACACTGCCCTCTCTGCTCAAGGAGCTGGCCCTGCTTTCCTAGCTGCTCTCAGCATCATCAGAGCAGTGGCAGAATCCCAGCTCTCATTGGGGAACTTCCCTTATTTTGGACACCAGTGTTCTCCCTCCTTGTAAGCACAACCCTCTGCTCTGCTGAAGTAGCTTAACTCGCCCCGTCTGCACTGGGCAGCAGGGAAGAACTTACACTCCTCTTCAGCTGGATTTGGAGCCCAAGGCTGTGGGGCACAAACTGCTTTCCACAGGCAGTAGCTAAGAAAGATGTGCAGTCAAATCTAAATTGCTTTGTGCAAAAATGGCTCGTGCCTCATCCAGCTAATTCCCTGCCTGTGCCAAGGAGGTCTTGGCAGTGCTGGACCTGCGCCCTTCTTTCCGTCAGCACAGGGAGCACTTCCACTTAGTTTCCTTCAGCATGGGCTACCTCGGGTGTGCCAGGACACTGGCAATGCCAGCCATGGCCAGGTGGAGTTTTACTGTGAGGCTCCAGAACATGCTGCTCACAGCCACCTGGAACATCCTTTCTGAGACGCTGGGATGCTCCTCCCAGCCATCTCTTCCTGCATGCCGTGGGAGGACCTCAGTTCCAGTGCCACCTGCACTAGGCCAGGTGAATAAGCAGGCTTGCTTGTGAAGCGGAGAAAATGTCAGCCCAGCCCTAAAAGTGGCAAGCAGGCCATGAGTGGGTTAATCCTTCTGAAATCCCACATCCCTGGTGCTGCATTATCCCTCCACCCCTACCCCTGGGGACTTGAATGTCCTTCTCCATCTGTGTCTATTCCTCCTTGTTCGATGGGGAAGGCTGCGATCAGGGAAATGCAGGGTCAGCACTGGGTGAGGGTTTTGGGGGAAGCCTGCTCGCTCGACAGCCTGTGCTGCAAACAGAGGCTGTCACAGCTTGGGAAGCGAAGCAGAGCCCGAGGCAGATCTGCATTATAAGCGGTGGCGGCTCAGCTGCTTCTGCCAAGCCCTCAGGCTCCCCGGCACTGGCACACACTCCCCCAAAAACTCTGAGCTGGAGGTAGAGGACAGAACAGGCTCTCGCTGCCCATGGCTGCCTGGAATGACTGTGCAGAGCACGGCCCCTGTGGCACCCCGGGAGTCCAGAGGAGCAGGATTGCTTTGTCCCCAGCAGCACTGCAATTCTCATCCGGATGTCGGTGGGTGAGAGGCGGAGGAGGCTGGTGAAGGATATTATTAGAATAGTAATTAGGTCCCGGGAAAGGAGGAAATGGAAATCATCCAGTGCTATTTCACTGGCTCAAAACCATGTGAGTTTCAGTGCTGTGAAGAGTTTCAGAAAAGACAGGAGGGAGGGCTGTTCATCTTGCAAATCCAAGGAGGCAGGTAGGGACTGTCGGCATTAATGGAGAGTGCTTTCTATTAAGGCAGGAGGCCATACTCAGAGTGCCAGAGCAGCCCACTGGGAACAAGTGATTGCAAAATGGTGCAAGGTTTCTTGTTGGCTGCAATAGTTGTGGATCAATGCAGAGGTCAGGAATCAGGCACTTCAGGCTTTATGTTTGCAGGAGACAGCAGGATGTTTATGTACATGCATTTGTCTATGTGGGAGGCTCACCTCAATCCACCTGCCAAGAGGGAGGATAGAAGATGAATTGTCTTGAATAGTTTCTTTCTGGGACATTCCTGTGACTGGTGCTCCAGTGTGGAAGAAAGCTGCTGGTCCACCGTTGGCCAACATGTAAGAATTCTGGTATGTCCAGCCCAGAGTGTAACAGGCAGGTACCCACACAGGAAAGATCACTTCACAGCCCCCCTCATTTCTCCTTTTCCTGACCATTTTAGCAAGAGATCAAGCACTAGCTGGCCCTCAATCACATCGAGCTGCCCATGTTCAGTCCCAGTGGGCCAAAGTTTAGGGTCATTAGCACTGTGGTGACAACTCTTTCCTTTGCCTGTAGCAATATGACTGCGGGATGGGCACTCCTGCTTGAAAGAGGGAATTTTCTCCCTAGACCTTGTTTGCTTATATTATGGTGATCTGCCTGTTAGTTTGAGATCCCAGTTGTGTTCCTCCTCAATATAGTGATGTTACATCAGATATGGTCAAATCTACCTCAGCCCTGTCTGTGTTCGCTTTTTCTCTCCTTTCTTTCCAAGCCAGGTCATTAGCAAAAGTAAACTCAAAATATTTTGTAGACTTCCTGCAACCTGGGGGTCTTGAAAAATCCCTGTGCTTGCATGGCAAATATGTTGGTGACCTTGTTAATCAAAAAAGGTGCTGGGTACTGTGTGGTGATGTTTACATTCTGCATATCTGCATACTGAGTAAGTGCCACCCAGATCTGTATTTCTGAACTTGGGAAAAAAGAATAAACACAAGAGAGAAACGGGGAGAGGGTAGTCTTTTCTGATCTTTGGATTTAGGCTGGTTCTGCAGGTTGCATCTCTTTAATTTCAGTTTTGAGGAGCAGCATTTTAAGGATCTGAATTGTCTGTATGTGTGAGCCTTTGGTTTTGGTGAGAAGCACTTCAGTGAGCACAGTGGGGGGAGAGTGAGTGAGTGAGTGAGTGAGTGAGTGAGTGAGTGAGTGAGTGAGTGAGTGAGTGAGTGAGTGAAAACGTGCAGGTGCGTATGAGCACGTGTGAGTGCCTGCCCTCTTGTCACATGTGTGAGTGTGTCTGCCCTCTTGTCACATGTGCCCGCCTGCCCTCTTGTCACACATGGGAGTGCCTGCCTGCCCTCTTGTCACACACGTGTGTTTGCCCTCTTGTCACACATGGGAGTGCCTGCCTGCCCTCTTGTCACACATGGGAGTGCCTGCCTGCCCTCTCCTGGCAAACGTGTAACAGCTCCCACCCACTGCACTCCTCCTACCAGCAGTGAGCGATGCCCCACGGAAGCAGCATTTTCACGAGGTCGGTGTGCGTGTCCCAGGCCCTGTGCTGCTGACAGGTAAGGACATTTCTTCTCTTGTAAAGAGGCAGCAGTTTTGCTCTTGAAATGGGTGTTTTGTCCCCGAACACCAAGCACAAGGGCTTCTACTTGCCGGCAGGTACAATCATCCAGCAAAGGGTTTGTGATGCTGGCCACACTTTATTCTAGAACACATTAAAAAAAAAAAAAAGTCTTAAACATACATATTTGTCTTTCTATTCTTCTGGTCTGCAAGCAAAATTCAGCTTCCTATGACTTCCTAACCCTATGCTTCTGTCTATTTCTGCAGCATCATTAGCAGGAAGGACAGGCCAGATTCTGACCTCAATTACACCTCCCTACACCTGAAGTAAAGCTTTTTAAGTCGGTTCCATCACTACTGATGTTTGTTAGTGTAAAGGAAAACAAACTGTTTGTGCATTTGTGTTTTTCAAGGCTCCAAAACTCTGACTTCAGCATACAAATAAATGTGACACTTAATCCCTGAAAACATTTTCTGAATGTATATAGATATATATTTTCCATCTCTAACATCAGTGGCATTTCCTTGTTCCCAGTTCCCTTGACGTTTCTGGAATCAGCATGGCAGTGACAGACACTGTTGTTCACTTATTAAGACTGAATGTTGCCATGTCTGAGTACAAATGAATGTTCATTGTATGATACAGCTTTCTTATAAAGCCATACTTTTGTAATTTTGGTTTTTCTTTTTTAGGGGGGAAAATTTTCCTTATAATTGTGTTTGCACATTACTTGCTGCATGATTAAAGATAAAAAGATTGTAACATGCTGGAATAAACTATATATACATAGCCTGATAGAACTAGGTACACTAACTGTGAAAATAATTTAATCTGATTGTATTAATATAATAAAATTGTAATATAAAATTGATGTCTTTTATTAGCCAATTGGTCAAAACCACCTGCGAGTATCTGTTGCTTTTGCTTTGGCTCGTCTTATTGTTTGATGATTTCATTCTGACTGCTAAGCC